CCTCCTTCATTCCACCACCGTACCCGAGTTCTGAACCAGAGGCCTTTTGGACATGGGGTCTCCTAGGATGCCTCTCGGGGGCCTCTTGGAGGTTTCTTGGTGGCCTCTTACAACAGCGATAGCTTTTTCCAAAATCTACTCAGAGGAATCACTGATTTTTGCCTCTTGGGGCCCACTTGAGGGTCCCCTCGGGGATCTCTTTCGGCATCTTGGGGGCCTCTTGGATCGTCACGAGGCCATCCTGGGCGGTCTCCGAACGCTTTTTGGCCGTCTCGCAGACTTGTTGAAGCGTTATGAGGCCGTGAGTGACCCTCTTAGCCAGTCTGGGAGATCTGCGGCCTCGGGAAAATCGGGAGCCTCGCGACGGGGGTCAATGCAAACGGGGTTCAGCCAGAGCGCCTGGTCTTGCAGGATCCTGCAGGGCCAGGGTCGCATTGACCCGGACTTTGGCGCAGGATCCTGCAGGATTTTGCAGGATCCTTCGCACTGGCCCGGGTTTGGGTGCAGGATCTTGCAGGACTTTGCAACGCCTGACTGATGCGGGTCTGGATTGACCTGGGTCAGAAGATCCCCGAGCAAAGTCATGCAGGGAATCAAGGGAACGACCCGCAGCGCCCAGGAATTCTGTGAAACAGGGCGTCGTGCCCACCGAGAAAAGTCATGCAGGGAGTCAAGGGAACGACCCGCAGCGCCCAGGGATTCTGTGCAACGGGGCGTCGTGCCCACCTGTCTACGCATCCAACCATCCTGGCCACCGTCACCACAGTTGTAAGCCGTGTGGCGCCCCACCTCGTGCGTGGTTGCATCCAACATGTTTCTCATCCGTTGGGGCCCCGACGCACACGGACGTGGGGCCATTTAGGAACCAACTACTCCAGATTTCGTAATAAAAGGGAGGGGGTCTGGACCCTCCAAGACAAGCTATTTCAGACCCCCCCCGTGGGAGAACCCTCCAAAACAGCGTCCCCAGACCACCCCAGGCCCTCCAAGATAGCCTGGAAGAACCCCCCCCCCCGAAATGAGACCCCCCTCCCTTTATTACGAAATCTGGAGTATCTTGGAGGCCGCTGCGTCGGGCCATCGCAGGTTCGGCCCCACTCGGCCACAGTGGAGCCGTTTTTCTGAATAGGTTTGTGAGGTTTTGTTGGTAATGTAGGAGATGTTTGGTGGCCTCAAGGGTGCGTGGAGTAGCTCGCTGCCCCACCCCCCTACGAGTACGAAAACGCAGCTTAGACTTGACCCTGTGCGGGCGATCATAATCACCGGGGGATAGCAAAGTTCGGGGTTCTGGCGGGGCCCTGCCGCACGTTCGTAACCTGGGCAATCTGAGCTGGTGAGAATCCCACGGCCCTGCCACGCGCTCGTGATTGCGGGCGCTGGTGCGGTGAGACCGCCGTGACCCCATGCTCTCAGCGTTTTCGCTGCTGCTGCTGGCCAACGCGAGCTGACAGCATCACGCGGCTGCACTCGTCGGAGGTGCGCCCCTCTGATTTCTCGGACCTGCGCTATCAGGCCCTGTGGCGCGGCGCATCCGGCGCCGCCCTTTACTCCGCGCACCGGGGAGGGGCGTTTCGGCGCAGATCAGAGAGAAATCTGTGCGAGGCCCCGACAGTTGGCGTCTGTGCCCTTGGCATCGCTCGGACGTGTGCATTTTTCCTTCGGCGAGGACCATCGAGGAGCATCCTTGATCAATTGGCGAACAAACCACGCACGAAACCGAAAAAAACACAGGGAATGGACGTCCGAGCGACGACCAGCGCCATTCTTCCCTCCTCTACAGCAGGGGGACGGGTACACCCCACGGTCCCACGCGCCTTTTCACACCCCTGTCAGCTTGGGTCGGTGGATTTTGCGCGTTGCGCCGAACCGTTCCAAGCTTGATTGATTTTTAATCGATCCCCAGCCAACGTGAAGGTTTGGAGTGCTGTATCGGCTATTCTCTCTCCCTCTCCCTGCGGCTGGGAACGCGGCGACGCCGCAAGAAGTCTCGCAAAGCTCTTGCTGATTGCCTGATGCGCTGAGTGGATTCTTCCGCTGAGCTTCGGGCACGGCCAGGGTGACTACGTTTCTGCTTGTCTGCGCTGCCCCCTGGTCCTGGATTCCTCACCCTGCCCTATCCCTCGCGCTTCCTCGTCGTACTGCCTCGTCATCTCATCCGTTGCTACTCCCACGCTCCGATGTTTGTCTTGTCTGTCAATGGTTGTTTGTCCAATGTGACATGCGTTGTCTTTCCGTTGGCGAAGGCGGCAGCAAGCAGTTTGGGAGGAACTACTAACATCATCGCACCCCCGTGAAGGGTGTGGAGTAATAGGTCGACGAGAAGCATGGGCCTGGTTTACCTCCTCGCCTCCTCCCCCCTCTGAGGCGCTCGTCCCCCTTGATTCCGACAAAGCTTCCTCCCAGAAGGGGCCGAGCTTTGAATCAGATGCGGCGTTGCAACCCACTCGCGAGGCAAGACATTGGCCTGACGAGCGTGTTTCCCCAACCCTCTGGTGTTGTTGGGTTCTTGCTTTGAGGCCGCAGCGCCGCGCGTCTCCTTCTCCTTCCTTCCCTTCTCCTTCTCCTTCTCCTCCTCCTCCTCCTCCTCTCGGGAGCGACCTCGGAGCGTGGGACTGTGGTCGTGAACCCAGGATGATTTTAGCACGCCTCTGGCTTGCTGGGGCTGGTGAATTTTCAATGCGGGAAGTGCCCCATTGAAAGACAACCGTCTGATAATCCTCAGCAGTGCCAAAACACCATTCCTGGGATTTCCACGCCGCGAATCGACGTGACCGGTGTGTCCTGACAGTCCCAAACTTTGCAAGAAGACAGTTCCTGGGATGACAACCTTACGAATCGTTTCAACTGTCGTAAAGACGAACGCGTGAGGCGCTAAGGCGAGAGCCACATTGTGGAAAGGAACCGCCCTCCATCCTTCAGGCTGATGCAATGTATTAGGACGCATGTGCGGGGCGTTTCGGCGAACGCCCTGTTTTTGAAAAGGACCCGTCCTCTATTCTTGAAGCTGCTGCACATTGCAAGCTTCAGGATCATATATGGGTGGGGAAGTCTCAGGCAAAACGCCCAGCCCGCCCTACCAACACGTCTGGGGGTGCGACACGGAGGAGTTCTTTACATCGGAAGGGGTGCATAATGCCTCTTGATGGCCTCTTGTGTCTTTCTTGGCGCCTCCTGGGGATCTCGTGGAGGCTGCTCGGGGGGTCTCTTGGGGGCTTCTTGGGGGTCTCTTCGGGCTCCACCCGACTCGCTTGCCG